CTGTACAGTGGCAACTTGGCATTTCTTTTCTACATTTTAAGCAACACCTTCCCTTCCCTTTCAGACTTTGGATTAATACTGATTTTGTAACAGCATGATTCAGTAGGTTTAGTTGATCTTACTACTTACTTCAGTAGGTTTAGTTGATCTTGTGGTTGATTATTGCTGGTTAATGCCTTTCAAACGAGTGTGTATGCATACATATATACATCATTTGAATTCTTTAGAGGTCTTGTCTTGAAGCACGTGTCCAGTGCTAGCCAGGAAGAAACCTCCTGCTTTTGAAGAGTTGAAAAGGAAACAAATAAATAAACTCCTCCACATGTTGCTAGTTCTTGGCTTAATATCCTCCATTTGGACATCTACTTGGTTCAGATTCAGTGTAAAGAATTTTAGGGTGATGGTCTAAGACTTACATAGTTTTCTGCTTAGATTGATCACCAGTGATAGAACTCAGATTAAGAATCCTGGTCTTTTATTGGGAGGCGGAACCTAGTGAAGTCTGGGGCATAGATAAAGTCATAGGATATAGATAAGCTTTCTGGTTTAAAGGTTTGTGCTTAAGTAGAGCAGATAAACTGCCAGCCATACCCAGTCAAATAATGGCCAAAGATGAAACAAGTCATTTGAAAGTTCCTGGGAAGGAGGCTGAAGCTATAGGTCATAAGGGATTACTGGAGCTCAAGAATGAGGTACTCTGTAGATGTCATTGGAAATGGTTTTCCTTCATCACTGATGGAAATATGTCCAAGAGAGAATTTCCAAATGGAAATCATTCAGTAATTCGTTTCAATAATTTGAATGACCCTTCTTTCTGAGAACAGCTGGCTCACCTATTATCCAGGTGAACAGTGTGTTTGGGGAAGAATGTATGACAAACCAATTGTATCTACGGCCATATACTGTATGGGAATGTGAGGAAACTTCCTTTGGTCGCACGTATTAGAGAGGAACAAAAGGAAGATAATTAGCTGATGACCTGCTATGTGTCTCACCATTTCAGTGGACAAAATGACTATGGACATCAACTGTTTCAAATTCTTTATTAATGGCTGACATTGTTGGCTGCACTGTTGCTTGTGTGTTCTGCTTTGTGATTAATTCTGTATATAAGTTTTGCTTTCTTTCTTCAGCTTTTCATGGGTTTTCCTGATTTTTCAGGGGGTTGCTAGGCAGCCCAGTTATCTCAGTAGGACAGAAAGGGCAGAGTTTAAATGTTAAATCAAATAAGAGAACAGATACATTGGCCATTTTGAAAGTTAAACGGACAGGGAGCAAGTGGTTTCTCATGCATCTATGTGGGGCTCCTTGCAGTATGTCTGTTAGTTGATATACAGTGTAATGTAACTGCATCAAATAAAGTAGGAAGAATTGCGAAAAAGTGGGTGGAGCCACAGCAGAAGACACTATTCTGCATTAGAAAGTGGGGGGAAGAGGTCCACTAAATCTGGAAGTCATCAGGTTAGAGTTGACCAATGCAAGTCTTCCTTAATCTTCTCTTAATGATTTGAACTGGTTGGGCATAACCCCACATGAAAAAACATAGCTGGTCTGAGTTTTATGTAGAAGATCTACACAATGCACTTTTTGATACAACTTACAAACTAGCAAAGGGTGATACCAACAGAGAGTGCTGTAAAGCCCAATCAACATTGCATTTATTTATATTTAACGATTACAAAGTTTGCTAAGAATAGAAATTACACAAATAAATACAAAGATAGCTACCCAATTCCTTGGGTAAACCCAGTAGGTTTCTATATGAAGAAGAATAGTTAGATAGCAGAATCATGAAATGGCATTGTGGGCTGTATAGATGGCAGTTCCTACTTTTGAAGATTCCCCATTTTCTTCTTCTGGTATTTCTCCTCTAAGGTGAGTCTGCTTATCAATATCCACATCCTTGCTTGCTTCTGCCTGAAATTTAAAAAGCAAAAAGCAGGACAGTCCACTGGATTCAACAAATATGAATATATTTTCCTGCAAGTAAAAAAATAAATGAATAAATCAGGATGAAAGCTAAATCCTTCTCAGAACTGCTAGGTTTTTTCTTGCGGGGATACACTTACAATTTTATATGTTTATTTATTATTTATTAAATCACTTTATATAGCCGCCCATCTCACCACAGGTGACTCTGAGCA